ATTTTTTCGAAAAAATTTTTCAATTCCTGATTTTTGCTTGCAAGTTCAATCTGATTGGCTCATTCCCAACAATTTTTTTTTCAATTTTATTTAAATTATACTTGAATTTTTGCTAGTTTCAATGGTTTTTGACTTCTTGAAATGATGAAGGACTAAGGAAGTAACTTCGCTGACAATGATAAAAAATGACCTTTGATTTATTGGAAATCAAAATTATTCATCAGTAATTGCATAAAAAACAACATAGCCTAAGACCTAGTCTTTTAGCCTAATTATTGTGATAAATTTTTCAAAGAGAAGCGATATGGTTGATGTTTGCACCTGTTTTTTGAGCAGCTTTTGAGGGTTTTTGGAGACAGGTTTATCCAGTAGGTCTCTACCTGGGGAAAAGAAATCTTGGCCTGGGTAGTCTGGTGGTGCGCCACTGCACTTTCTGAGCTCGGGTGAGATTGTTCTTTATCTGCAAGCGTTATAGATTTTATAACTTTTTGTTCTAATAAGATATTTTTTCAATTTCCAAATTCCATTTATATAATTCCAACCCTGTGATTATGAGTCAATTCAGTCCCCATGTGTCTATTCAAATTTCTTTTTGAACCCTTACGCCGCACCGTCAACATTAGGAAAAACAACAAGGCGTATACAAGCAAACAACGCTTAAGTAAGACCTTCAGGAATTTTAAATTTGGTTAGATGGGATTGTTGCTTCAATTGATATCGTATCAATTGTATAAAAGTAACTTTGTGCGTCTCTAAAAAGATCCAATGGTTTCAAAGTGTACTATTTTTTTTAATGTGAAATCTGTCAATAATGCTTCGATGGGTAATGATTTTATCTAATCTAAACTATTATTAAATGCTAGTGATAGCTATCTTCCATGTTTAAGCTTAATAATTTTGCATGTTAAACGAAAGAATTTTATCATGTTTAAGCTATATCATATATTGCAATGCTTAGAAAATTTTTCAATTAGTTTTCCGCAAAGTCATTAATTTTTCAGTAATTTTTTTTTAGGCCAAACTAAGTCTGTCTGTCTGTATACCTGCGATTTGATTGTCTGTCTACCTGCCGCCTAATTTTTTAACTTTCATCTATTATCTATCTATTATATATTCTCTATCTCGCCATGTTTAAGCTTTTTCAACGTATTATTTTTGCATGTGTTGTAACCCCCAGGGTGCTCTGAGGGGTTGCGAATCTTGCCTCAAATTCTCACTTCTCAAATCCTTGTAGTTTTCGAGATATGACGTGTTGTGAGGCTCTGTCTGGGTACTCTCAGGAGTTAGGAATTTTATCTCCCAAAAGAACTGCGAATTTTGCCTCCAAATAGGACTGCTCAAAATCTTGCAATTTTCGAGATATGACCTTCTTTGTGATTTTTTCAAAAAATTTTTCATGAAAATTAATTAAATTTTTTTTTGAAAGTTCCAACTTCCTAACCTGTAGTTGGTGGGGGGGGGGGGTTTGATGTCAGAGTTATCTCAGGGGTTGCAAATTTGACCTCCAATTAAGAATGTCCAAATCATTTTTGTATAAGAGATACGACGATTTTTGTGATTTTTTGAAATTTTCGGAAAACTCAAATTACAAAATAATTTGGTTAAGTGAAATTCCCAACCCTGCAGTTGTGCTCTTTCAAAGAGTGCGAATATTGCCATCAAAGAAGATTGCTCAAATTTTGGTAGTTTTCGATATGTGATTTTTTCTGGTTTTCAAAAAAACTACCTCTTACAAACCTTATAGTGAAGTTTCTCAAAATTTGAATTTCCCAACATTGTAGTTGGGTACTGTAAAGTACTCTCAGGAGTTGCAAATCTTGCGTCCAAATGCGACTGCTCGATTGCTTTCAGTTTCCCAGATGTGACGTTTCTTAATACATAATGGTTTTTATGGTTTTTTGAAAATTTGAATTAAAAAATCGAATGAAAAATTTCACAAAATATGAAGTTAATCTCAGGAGTTGCAAATCTTGTGTCCAAATGCGACTGCTCAATTGTACTGACTCCAGATAATTTTCGAGATTTGACGTTTTTTCTGATTTTTAAAAAATTTTCAGAGAACTTAACGATTTTTTTCTTCAAAATTTGAAACTGTATTTGGGGGCTACCAGAGTAGTCTCAGGTGGTTGCGATCCTTGCCTCCAATTTTTAATGCTCAATTTTTTGTAGTTTTGGAGATATGATTTTTTTGTGATTTTTCAAAAAGTTTTCAGAAAACTTAAATTAATTTTTTTTTTCAAAATTTGAAATTCTTTACCCTGTAGTTGAGTGCTGCATGGGTACTTCCAGGAGTTTTAAATTTTGCCTCCATGATGACGAAAAATAGGAATTACATTTTTTTTAAATATCAAGTTACCAGCCATGTAATTGGGTGCTGTCAGAGTATACTAAAGTCTGCATATGTGGTTTCCAAGGTATGCGGTTTTTCATGAGTTGTCAAAAATTCGAAGCACCTAGTCCTAAATTAGTATGTGAGTACAGTCATTTCTTTTGTTCGAGTACTCAAAAGTGTACCTAAGGGCTCGCATGATCCCTTGGCAGACGTTGTTTTTGGATGAAATGATTGATAATTTCTGAAATGTTGAAGATGATACTTTTGGCTGGTATTCTGCTGTCTTTTTTTTCGAACAAACAAAAAAAGTGCTCGTAAACAAGCGACAGCTATAAGTTCTATATTTAAAACAAAATAAAAAACAATAATGTTCGACTGCCTAAACCCCTTCCCCAATGGTCAAGCCTCCTTAGACAGATCTCGACCAGAGAAAAAAGCTAATCAGCAGCAAGCTTGACAAGGGAAACACACAGGGAGCAATGAAGCTGGCCACTTCAAAAAACAAAATTATTTTTTTGATTCCTAATTATACGAGAATGGTATCTTAGCACCCAAAAAAAACCTAATACTATAATGCTGTTTCCGTAATTGAGTTCGAGGTTTACAGAGCAAATATATTTTTTCAAACAGTTCCAGAGCCGATCCCGACGAGCTTTTTTCCCGAGTTTTTGAAGGCTTTACAAAAAAATCAATTAACTGTGCGGGGCTAAATTTTTTGAAGTCGCTTACTAAGCTCCCAAATGACAAGGTAAAATACCCTAACCACTAGTTCTTCTTTTCTGGAGCAAAACTTAGCGCACTGATAAAAGTAGACGAAAGAGTGCGACCACTTGCCATCGGCATTACGCTCAGACGAATTGCGTCTAAAAGCGCGCGATGCAAGGTTTCGGAGATCGACAAAGTTTTCAGGTCAAATTTGGTACTTAAAGAAGAGCGTTAAATGACGCACACTCCTTTAGAAAATTGATAAAGCGTGAAGACAACCCGAAACTCTCAGTTTTAATTAAGTTGGATTTTTTTGCCTTTAATTTACTCGATAGAGAAACTATGCTGAATCACGTTTTTTCTAACCATCTTGATTTGTGCAAATCTTTTCTTTGCGTCTTCAGTAAACCGAATTAACTTTTTAACGCAAATTCAATCATTATGTCGGATCACGGAACACAACAAGCTGACACTGAGGCTCTACCGTTAATTGCTGAAACAATACAGAGGCTAGCTTGTTAGCTTTAGTACAGAACAAACGTTTGGTAAAAAGAAGATAAAAACCTAATCGACGGCTAAGAGATAGTGCTCCCTCCGAGACCTAAAAAACGTACGGCAATCGAGAAACTTATGACCCTAGCCTAAACCTAGAAAAGAGTGAATTATATTGTCTAAGCTCGAACACCAGCACATAGTACAAAACAATCATAGGTCAATAAAATATCAGGAAAAATAAAATCAAATCCAAAGATGAACTTAGAATATTGGGCTAACCTATAGGCAAATTTTGTCGCAAACAACTGCTAAACAAGAAAAAAAAGCTGAGCTGCAAAAAAATTTCGGAGGTTTTTGATAAGCTGGATGCTTATTATAGCTTTTACCTCATTAAAAGTAGCTTTAGTATGCCAAAACTTCTGTAATTTGTGCGTAAAAGTCCTTGTTCTTTGCAAAGTGAACTTTCGGAAGAATAAGATCAAATTTTAAAAATTCATGATGTACGGTAACAAAAATAAAATTGAAAGATAGCCAGCTTTTGCAATCTGTTCTCCTGACAGCCAAAAAGGGCTTGGGTGTTTCTTCCACCCGCCTACTAGCTTAATCAAATTTTCTTAGCATCAGCATTGTGAGCGAAGGCTGGCTTAAGTGAAGTTTTTGGAGGAAGAGGATGTAACATCTAATGATGCATTAAAACCCTGGCCTGATTGAGCAAAACGTTAAATAGCTCTGGAAAAAAGAAATCCAAAAAATTAGACAGAGCCCATTTTTGATAATGAAGATTCTGAAAGAATCGTGAAATTCGATTCTGCTGACGTAAATCAGCGCTAACCAAGATAAATGCCTTGTGATAATTCCAGATGAAATTTATCAAATCAGCAGCTCTGCATTGCATTTGGATTCTACTTAGGCTCAAAAACTTGTGAGAAACATAGATGTCTTTGCGGAAAAGATGTAACCGAAGATTGATGGCATGGCCTATACTGTCCAAAATTTGCAGTAAGATTCTCTACTCTTTATTTTGAATGCCCTTCTTAAGCGAAGTTCCGCCTCCACACCTTCCTTCTCTTTTAGAGCCACGACTTCTCCACAGCTTAGATCAGAAGCGTCTAGTCGGTTTGACGCTTGTCCCATGGGCTGTTTGTGAGCAGCTTCTATGGGATAAAACGGTAGTTAACTCAGGTGGTTTCTGAATTGAAACATTGCATATCTGACAAGTATAGAGACTTAAATAACGATGCATATATTGTTCAGTCCATAGCTTTAGAAATTCAGGGTGCCGCCGACACTAGCACTGAGATTATTTTTACTAATCCAGCTCCGGAAGCACTTGACCTCGTGTACCGAGGATTCAAGGGCAGGTAGTTTTCTTAAGCGGATAATCTCATTCGCCTTACAGGCTGTGAAGGCTGCCTGTGTAGATGGATAGATAGATAGATAAAGTTTTTAGTTACCTTTTATGGGGTAAATCAAAAACAAATTGAGTTAATACGAGTTGTTAGAAAAGTTAAGATTGATAAGTTATTTAAGTTCACCCTGTGTTGCCTTGAAACTTGACGAATGTGCAGAAAGAGTCGAGGGAAAACTTTGATTGAAAATCATCGAACGAAAACTTCGAAAGAGTTGATTTTATATTCTTCATGGGGCCATAAACATCCAAATTTGATTTGGCTCAAGCATAGTTTAGGCTTTCCACTGTTCTCATAAAATAACTGCCATATATGGAAAATTGCCGAGAATTATCCAATGGGCGGTATTAATGAATAATGACTAGCTATTAATGATAAAAACTACTTTCGAGGTTTTTTTTTGGTTTTCAGAGCCAAGGGAACAAAAGCGCAACTTGTATAAGTATCTGATAGACCCATAGCCTCTCATCGGGTTCTTTTTCAACTCCGGTTTATTCTGTGCAGATTATAGTTTTCTCAATCAGGTTGTCATGATTCTCAACCATCTGACTCTCTTTACTTATATCCACGTTATACTTTATTCTACCGTATCTATACAATTCCTAGGATTTTGACTGGAATATGCGATGAAGGGACTCCTGACTGTTACTTCAGTTACTATGATACTTTCGACCTTCTGATTATTCCAAGTTTTTAGTTTGAGCTAAAAATGATAACTATACTTAACGAGTGCATACGTGTCTGATAGCTCTGATGGACGAAGAAATAAATGAGTTTCAACTTCTTAGTACAGAGCCATGGGAACTGAACTGGGTTTTGGATAATGAACAGCCCCTCCCATCCGTAACTAGTAGAGAAGTGACAAAATGGGTTGAACAGGTCTACAACTATCCTGATATCCTGACAAACAAGCGACTGCTTGTTAATGCACTTGATATTATAGAGTCTAGATCGTCAAAAGCTAACGAAAACGGCAATTCAAATATTGTTTCTTCGCCAATAACTCCATACAGGGAGCTCATGGATATTCAAGTACTTGCGCGAATGCAGGAAGACAGTCTTCGCGAATCAACTTTAAATAGGTCTAGAAAAGGAACAATGAATCGCAAAAGAACGCCAGTGCAAGATGACAATAGCCTATCAGGTGTGCAATCAGATGATCGCAATTATAAGCAAATTGAAAGTAGTGTTTATAATTCTGTGAAATCCGCAGAACCTCGCTTTCAACATCCACATTTTGTCAATGCTGAATCAGACACTGAACATGGTCTCGAAGAGTTTGACACGCGCTGTTTTAGGAATCGAAACCTTGCCGATGTCGGCACGTTTCGTGTCAAGAGGAAAGATGCGGACAATATTAAAAGGCCGGTAATTGACAAATGCAACACAACTGTATCCAACAGCAACTTCGAGTAAGTAACATTCACAACCTTGTTCATTCTGTGAGATAATGAGAATGTAGACAGAGCTTAGTAATTGATTCAAATAAAGAAGAGAATTATAAGTTTCCGACCCATTAATTGAAAGAAAGTCTTATAAACTGAGGTTCTATAACTTCATCAAACAAAGTTAATGGATGTTTAAGCTTGTTCAAATGGAACTGCCATGTCATACTAAAAACAAAACTACTATATTTCTGAAAAAGTCCATTTTTTCTATCCAATCTATTTAAATGTGTCTACCTTTATTTTCCCATGTTTCAACTTTTTCTACGTGTTCTTTTTGCTTTTTTATTGTTTTAAATAGTTTTTATCGTACAAAGTCTTAAAATTCTGAATTAAATCTGTCCTTGAGATGGCGAAAGGAGTTGAAATTGCCACCGGAATGTTAAAGTTGCCATTCCATTGTCAAAAGAGCAATATAGAACGATTCCACTCATTCACCGACGGGCTTGAAGAATTGTTGATTAACTTCAAGCCCACTCAATAGGAAAAAAATTTCATTCAACAACCATCTGCCATGCAATTTTTCAGAGCAAAACTGTCGAAAAAGAACGTGACAATTCAAAGGACCATTTTAACCTATCTGTCTATTTTATATTTGAATGCGGGCTTCATTATCTTGCCATGTTTTGACTGTTAAACAAATTTTTTTTCGTTTAAGTGAAACCGTATATTGCAATGTCTAAGAAGTTTTTATGATTTTCCAACCCAATAATGACATACTGTCAGGGTTCACTCAGGGATAGTAAATTTGGCCTTCAAAAATGAATACCGAAATCTTTTTAGTTTACGAGATACGACGATTTTAGTGATTTTTCAAATAAAAATTTAAGAAAAAATTATATTTATTGAAATTCATACATTTTTGAGTTTCCCAACCCTGCAATTGTGTGCAGTCAGCCTACTCACAAAGTTTGCAAATCTTGCCTACAAATGTGACTGCTCAAATCCTTTTAATTTTCGAGATACGACGTTTCTATGATTTGTTCATAATTTTTCAGATAAGTTAATTTGAAAAAAAATCACATTTGAAATTCCCGAGCCCAAAGGAAGGTTGTTGTCAGGGTTTTCACAGCCGTTGTTGTCAGGGTTTTCACAGGCGTCTTCAAAGTCTCAATAAAAACTTCAGAAAATTTGGAATTCCCAACTCTATAGTGAGGCGCTGTCAGAGTACTTTAGGGCATTGAAAGTTTTGCTTTCAAATATGACTGCTCAAATTGTTTTATGTTTTGAGAAAAGACGTTTTATGAGTTATCAAACGGTATCAAAACTGAGATATAAAACTCTCAGTGATTGCATTTTTCCCGACAAATTTGACTGCCTAAACCCTGCTAGTTTTCCAGATATTACGTTTTCTCAATATATTTCAAATAACGAATCAAAAAACTTGAAATATGAAATTCCCAACCCTAAAGTAGGGTGTTCTCAGAGTTTTCTCAGAGGCTGCAGGTCTCGCGCTTAAGTTTGACTTCATAAATAATTTTTGTTACCGATATATAAATTTTTAACGATTTTCATACGTTCTTAGGCTTGCGATAAGCAAGTGTTTTCAAACTGGAATGCAGACTTTTTTCGGGTTAACTACTAGTTTAACAAAATAATTTGAATCATTTCTTGTCTTCTCTTCTTACCTTCTCTTGAGATGTTCCAGGTGTCTAGCTCTTTGGCCTGGAGGTAAAGCAGCTGTCTTTGTACCCTAAGGTCTTTGGTTCGAGTCGTGGCCGGATTTTGATTTTTTTTCAGCTTAAGGAAATTGAAAAAAAAATTCTGAGAAAAATGAATTGTTGGTTTTTTGTTTGTCCGCTCAGGTTTTGTCGGCTAAATTGCCAAAACGGCTTTGCTTGAGCTGTGGACATTTTTCTAATAGTTGCAAGTGCAAATGTTGTTATTTCTATCTTCAAGAGGGGACTTGAAAGATTTTTTCTTTAAAATGTTCGTAAATTCATAAAATCTTTATTTTTTGGTTCTAAGCTATCTTTATTTTTTGGTTTTGAGCTATAATTGTGTATGTGAACTCCTCATAGACTGTTTAAAACAAACTCAATGAGAAAAGATGTGTAAAAATGTTTTTGGCTCCTTTCATGATCTTCAGTTTTGGAGAGAATACTGATACTCTCGAACATATGGTTAAATGAGATGAAACTTCAATGACAGCATTTTTCTAGTTAAGAAACCACTATAAAATGAACGTTTTATGTGTCGGATTTGTTTTTGTAAAACTCTCAGATAGTATTTTGGCCGGAAAACGATTTTTAGCGTAGTCAAGATGGATTAAGTTTTAAAAAAAATTTTTTTTTTTCAATTTGCTTTTGTTCCGACCATTGAAAATGGAGCGGACCTTTATTCGAGTATATTCTAGATTTTTTTCAATTGTTTTTTCTTTTTATTTTCACGCAACTTCAGGTACCACAAATAATAATCGGACTTGGTTGAGTGATATATCAAATAAAAGTGTTTTCAGTAGTGAGTCGACCCACATTAGAAAAAACCCGCAAAATTTTTTCTCTTGTCGAGAAAAACTGTTTGAAGTTTTTGATTTTTTGTCTAATTTCGAGTGATGAAACCCAGAGAGCAGGCTATTTTATGCTTTTTTTCTCGCAAAATCAGCGACCACCAACAATCATCGGAGAAAGTTGAGTGATATATCATAATAAAACCCTTACAATCGTGATTCAAACGACATTTAAGATTTTTTGAATTTTCCAGAGTCGAGAATTATCGTTTGAAAATTTTGGTTCATCGTCTTAATTCGAGCGAATAAAGCGAGGTTTTCAATAGATTGTTTTAAATGCTTAAGAGCGTAGAAAAGCTCAAACAAAAAAAAAACATAAAAAGTGTTACTCGAGTAACGTTAGTTTTTTTTAGCGCCTTTTTGGAATTAAGAATTTCAAAAAATTGAAAAAGAAGAAAATCAAATTGCGTATTATACTCTGACTGTCGAATTTGCCTAATGTCCAGTTTTTTGTTTAATTCTTATCAGACCATGCCGAAAAATACGACATTAAATTGATAAAACATTGTATTTTTAAGACTACGGTCGGAATATTCTGTGTTACTTTCACAGTAACCGGCTATCATTTTGTTTTTTTTTAAATTGATAGACCTGATTTTGAATAACTTTCATTGAGTCTTTGTTCGGCTGAAACTGTCTAGTTAATATCATATCTGCTTGAAAAAAAATCCGAGAAAAATGAATTGTTGTTTTTTTGTTTGTTCGCTCAGGTTTTGTCGGCTAAACTGCCACAACGGCTTTGCTTGTGCTGTGGACATTTTTCCTTGTAGCTGCAAGTGCAAATGTTGTTAATTCTAATTTCAAGAATGGACTTGAAAGATTTTTTCTTAAAAATGTTCATAAATTCATAAAATCTTTATTTTTTGGTTCTAAGCTATCTTTATTTTTTGGTTCTCAGCTATAATTGTGAACTCCTCATAGACTGTTTAAAAAAACCCAATGAGAAAAGATGTGTAAAAATGTTTTTGGCTCCTTTCATGATCTTCAGTTTTGGAGAGAATACTGATACTCGCGAACATATGGTTAAATGAGATGAAACTTCAATGACAGCATTTTTCTAGTTAAGAAACCACTATAAAATGAACGTTTTATGTGTCGGATTTGTTTTTGTAAAACTCTCAGATAGTAATTTGGCCGGAGAACGATTTTTAGCGTAGTCAAGATGGATTAAGTTTTAAAAAAAATTTTTTTTTTTTTCAATTTGCTTTTGTTCCGACCATTGAAAATGGAGCGGACCTTTATTCGAGTATATTTTAGATTTTTTTCAATTGTTTTTTCTTTTTATTTTCACGCAACTTCAGGTACCACAAATAATAATCGGACTTGGTTGAGTGATATATCAAATAAAAGTGTTTTCAGTAGTGAGTCGACCCACATTAGAAAAAACCCGCAAAATTTTTTCTCTTGTCGAGAAAAACTGTTTGAAGTTTTTGATTTTTTGTCTAATTTCGAGTGATGAAACCCAGAGAGCAGGCTATTTTATGCTTTTTTTCTCGCAAAATCAGCGACCACCAACAATCATCGGAGAAAGTTGAGTGATATATCATAATAAAACCCTTACAATCGTGATTCAAACGACATTTAAGATTTTTTGAATTTTTCAGAGTCGAGAATTATCGTTTGAAAATTTTGGTTCATCGTCTTAATTCGAGCGAATAAAGCGAGGTTTTCAATAGATTGTTTTAAATGCTTAAGAGCGTAGAAAAGCTCAAACAAAAAAAAAACATAAAAAGTGTTACTCGAGTAACGTTAGTTTTTTTTAGCGCCTTTTTGGAATTAAGAATTTCAAAAAATTGAAAAAGAAGAAAATCAAATTGCGTATTTTACTCTGACTGTCGAATTTGCCTAATGTCCAGTTTTTTGTTTAATTCTTATCAGACCATGCCGAAAAATACGACATTAAATTGATAAAACATTGTATTTTTAAGACTACGGTCGGAATATTCTGTGTTACTTTCACAGTAACCGGCTATCATTTTGTTTTTTTTTAAATTGATAGACCTGATTTTGAATAACTTTCATTGAGTCTTTGTTCGGCTGAAACTGTCTAGTTAATATCATATCTGCTTGAAAAAAAATCCGAGAAAAATGAATTGTTGGTTTTTTGTTTGTTCGCTCAGGTTTTGTCGGCTAAACTGCCACAACGGCTTTGCTTGTGCTGTGGACATTTTTCCTTATAGCTTCAAGTGCAAATGTTGTTAATTCTAATTTCAAGAATGGACTTGAAAGATTTTTTCTTAAAAATGTTCATAAATTCATAAAATCTTTATTTTTTGGTTCTAAGCTATCTTTATTTTTTGGTTCTCAGCTATAATTGTGAACTCCTCATAGACTGTTTAAAAAAACCCAATGGGAAAAGATGTGTAAAAATGTTTTTGGCTCCTTTCATGATCTTCAGTTTTGGAAAGAATACTGATACTCTCGAACATATGGTTAAATGAGATGAAACTTCAATGAC